TTATGTGTGTGTGTGTGTGTGTGTGTGTGTGTGTGTGTGTGTGTGTGTGTGTGTGTGTGTGTGTGTGTGTGTGTGTGTGTGTGTGTGTGTGTGTGTGTGTGTGTGTGTGTGTGTGTGTGTGTGTGTGTGTGTGTGTGTGTGTGTGTGTGTGTGTGTGTGTGTGTGTGTGTGTGTGTGTGTGTGTGTGTGTGTGTGTGTGTGTGTGTGTGTGTGTGTGTGTGTGTGTGTGTGTGTGTACCTTGCTGCTACCACGGAGACCAATCATTAGAACCACGGGTCGCTGTTGCTGCTGCAGATAGGTTGCAAGCTCAAAGCGTTGCTGGCTCGCCGTCAATCCCACAACGTTGGGGCAGCGCTGCGCTGACTTGGCCTGTGCTTTTGATGGCATTTGAAACAGGTGTGTGAGAGGGAGGGAGAGCAGTCAAGGGAGAGCAAAGAGGGTGGCCATTGGGGGGAGGCATTTCGCAGATTCGCACAGCCTCCGCAGCCTCGCTTTCTTTTAAAGATGCATACCGGGATAATGCCGGGCCCAGTCTCGGCACGTTTTCCGCGCTTGTCACGAAACTCTTTGAGGTCTGAGAACTGATCACGCATTTCTTGAACAAGTTTTTGCCGCTTTTGGGCATCCTGTGGCACCATAAGCCAGCCCAAGGTTGTGTAAGGGTCGATTCGAGCTCAACTGCCGACGCACGAAGCAAGCACCAAGCGCTCACCTCGGCTTTAGCTGCAGCTTTCTCCTCGGGGGTACCAAACCAGCGCTTCCACAGGGAGCTGGCAACTGGCCGGGCCACGTGCAAATCACGCGTTCTTGATGCGATTACACGTTGCACCACCCCTGGCTGCCCCCTCAGTACGGCGGCCCGCACGCCACCGCCACGAAGCAGGCTTCGCATCGCCATGTTCCCCAGTCGGCGAAATCAGTGAGATGCAATGACAAATTGTCAGCATGAACGTTCACCCGCGACATCACCACTGCGGTGCATTCACTGCGGTGGTTTTATCTGACATAACAGTCTTTACAAGGATTGGAGGAGACTTGACTATAACGTTACATACATGTGCTGCTTCCTGTTTTTTCGTGAGTGGC